ACGATAACTTCACGATTACATTTGACTCGTGTGTCCCATGTTTGTATACATATTCGGACTATAGTCGCCCTGTTTCTGGTTAACGTCCAATGTTTCTGTGCCTTGGTCTGGTAACTTGTGCCCTGTTCAACCTGGAGGTCATCTACCCGAGTGGAACTGCGCTGCAGAGAATTCGTGTCTGTACACTGTTCTCAATTCCTCATCGTGTAGCGCAGCAGCAGTTGTGTTTGTTCGGATTTTTATTCGTTGTTTTCTGTAGTAATTTTGGTGACCCGGATCACTCCCGCTAATGAGACTCATCTCCTAGTCTCTTGAGTTCTCACCTGGATCAACAAACGGCTTTTGATACTGTAACTCACCCACCACTCAGTCCCTCATCCACCCAATCACTCACCTGCATGCCCACTTACCCAGTCACCAAATCACCAACCCACTCATCAACTCAGAGCACTTGAACCCTCACGGAAAATAGTCTTGAACCTCAGTAAGCATTTCCTGGACAATACGTGGCATTATAAACTACTTTTGTATTTAATAGCGGCACCAGAATAGTTGTGGAACATTATATAAAATCTTAATTTGAAGCTTTCGTGACTGCAGGAATCCATCATCTTTGGTTCTTTCAGTGGGTCACTCACTCCCACCTGAAGACGGTTGCTTGTGTGGCGATCGAAATGTCGTGATCTATTATTATTTTTCTTCTACCTACGTGAATTTACCGAAAGAACCAAAGAGTACATTATATTCAAGTTAACGAGTCGTTAGTTTACCCAGGAATGCCATCCTGCGTATCAAGACACAGGAGGTTCCTGTTGGTCATGCCCGGTCACGTCCTGATTGTCTACACACGTGCTTGGGATGGCCAGTCATTTCTTTGTGGATCGATACATCACAGAATCTCGAGGGATGGCGGCAGCTTGGGGAGACTTTGAATCCAGCAATGGATTGATCATTGTTGATAGCGATCGTGATGACATGCATATTTCGAGCACGTGGCCGGAGAAAACTCACACGCACGTATGGGTGAGGTCATAACTCCACTTTCGTAATCGGTGCTGGTGACGGTGGGTGGTGGCGGTGGTGGTGATCATACTTTTCCAATGGGACAGACGCACACGCACTGCTGCGTACACGGTCCGTAACCAATCAGATGTCACGGTCCAATCAGAACCCCCTCACCCTCCACGCGGAGGTGGCTATGGACGTGGCTGAACGTCATTCGTGGCGCGTGACCTGCCCCCCCCACCTGCGTTTCTAATGACCATGACCGTGACCTCTAGAGAGGACGGGGTCACCAGTTATATGCAGCGTCAGCTCACTCGTCACGGATATTTGGCATTTTTGCCGCCCACCCCCCAGCACTCCAAATGTCATTCCACTCGCGCTATCGGTCTCGTGTCACGAGAGGAAGTCAGGAAGTAGCATTCGGAGCTATCGCGTCACCCTCCTTCAGGGAACGGCCCGCGGAAGCAGATATTACATAACTACTCCGGAGATTCCTCCCAGTGACCTCTTATCTGTCCACACTGAGAGATGGTCATCATGTTTAAACGGAAATGTATTATTATTATTATTATTTTTTTACAACAGTTACACATGAGCTACATTTCGCGAAAGGAAAACATTTAATGCCGTGCTGGTTTTGTGCAGTCACTGGCGGCCGGGTGGAGACCGTGAACTCACTTGCGCTCGAGTCACGTGCGACCCAAACGCGGGGTCGAACCCACGTTTTCAGAGTTGCCGGCTCACTGTTCATACCGCTGATCCACCCAGCCTCCTGGGGTTTGTTTACTCGTCATCAGCAGGCATGATCTATCCACTGCTGGACGAAACCCTCCCCGAAACGCTACCATCTCTCACGGCCATGCGTTAATAGAAGCGATTCGAATGAAGATCGATATTTCATGTGTTCCGTGTACGTGCGTGTACACGTGTTCCACGTGACGCCGACAGCGTCAATCGCTTAGTACGCCACGCGTGACGTCTTTAACAATTATCGGGCGCGTACAGCGTGAAACGAGTTAATTTAGTATATTTTAAATGGGGAGGAGTGAATTGGTAAACGCAGAGAGACCCGGTAGCGTGGTGGTGAGCCCCGAGAACTGGAGTTTGGGGGGATACGCTGCCCTATTGGCTCTCTGGACCCCCCAATCTTACCTTCCTCATGCCCCACAAGAAGAATATATTATCGATTAGCCATGAGCATTTGTTCCGAGCAAGCGACGCCAAAATTGCTCTATATATTCACGAGCACAGACTTTGCCAACGTCGTTCCTAATTCCGTGGGTCTATACATAGGCTCGCGCTCATGCCGGAGTGGGAGCTACATCTGGAGGATGTTATCTCCAGCAAAAACAACCGCGCACGCGGCGCCACAAGCCTCGTTTGATCCAGAATAGAGGTTTTTTTTGTTGCGCGTGTGTTATTTGTGAGGAAACTATTTAAATGAGAATTTTTGCGTGGTGACGAACCTTCTAATTTCGTTACTCGTTCTCGATATAGCCCGGCCGGAGCACAAACAGTCGAAGCACCGCCCCCCCCCCCTCGCTATTTATGTCCGCGAGCGAGGCGGGGAGGGCGCACGGGGCCAGCCTGGCCCCAACGCACAGGCGTCTCACTGCGCCCATTCATTCCCTCGCTCACTTCGCGGCCCAAATTAACCCCCTTCTTTTTCCCCGCGAACGTGACTCACAGCCCAATGTTATTTGTCCCAATTATTAATTACGTATGTTTCATAATCACCACTATCAGCATCATCCACGTGGTCTGTGACGGACTGTTATCAAGTTAAGTTGTGCGTAAATTCAATTGTAATAATCATGAACGATTCCCTGAATTCTCTGGAATTTAAGACGAAACGGGAAGTAAGACGCACCCACAACCCTAACTTGTGTCCGGTGGTGTCGCTGGAGTTCGATATAGATCAGGTCACCAGATCTACTCAAAGGGACGGATCGAGAGACCTCCCGAGTGGGGGTGGGGCAGTGCCGTAATGTCAAGGTGTTATAAATAGAGCACCCCCCCCCCCCCCCTACATTCATCCCAATAAACATTTCAGTATGAAATTATATTTATCAATGAAACATCAATTTCCGGCATCTCAACGACGATCGGCCCCTATACACCCTCTGCCACATCTCCCCTCCTTGGATCCACCACCGCTCCTACCGGATTATAAGACGGACCCCCAATGTTTGGAGCGATACAAAGATGATAGAACACACACACACGTGCGCGTGCGACGATAACCACACAATGCTGGGTGTTGACGAGAGCGGGCGGGCGAGAACAAGGGCGGATTGGCAGACAGAGAAGGAAATGCGTCCACGGTGGGTGGGAATGTGGTCGCCGCGGAGACGGAGCGATGAAATCGGCACCCACGTGCAGGTGCCCCCTGTGACGAATGGCGGCGTGGGGAGGAGACCCTCATTCAGCAGTGGATTGACCATGACGCTAAGAGACGCTGCGGTGGCGAAATGTTGACTTCCTCGCCTCGTTTATGGGAGTTCGTGGGTTCGATCCCGACCCTGACGCCTGCTGTATACTTGGAGTTTGCGTGTCTCCCGGTGGTCGCGTGGATTTTTTTCCCGGGTCTTCAGGTTTGTTTTTTTCCTCCACATTCACAATCAACGTGCGTTTAGAGCTGTTTGGCTGCTGTAAACGTCCCCATGATAAGTCCACTTCGTTGAGATATCATTTGTGATAGCCAGGTCGCTTCTGCAAAAAAAAAATCTACATACACCACAGTCGGTGCCTTACGTGGTAACATTAATACAAATATAGTTTACTTTAGATCGTCACCCGCCCCCCAGGATGTCTCGGGTGGGGGGGTTCCTGTGGCGGGTTGCGCGCGCCTCGTTCTCTCGCGCCGCTAGGAAATCCCTGCGCGCCGCGCTGTACCCACGCCTAATATGGGCACGTACGTCACCGTTTCCGGGCGGATCCCTCGTCTCTTAAAGGGGCACAATGGGGGGGGGGGGGGGCGACACGTGGGCGTGAGGTCTTGCTGCGTTTTACACGAAGGTTATATAAGCGCACACAAGGCAAAGGCGCAGATGAGCCGCGTATAGCCTTAACATAGTGTCGGGGCAAGTGCGGTTCGCGAATACCGATGAGGGTCGGCACTGCACATACGACGTGGGTGGGGGTTGGCCGTCTTTGTCTCCCTCGCGGCGATGTTTACGCACCGCACCAGGTACTCGTTTGAGGCTGAGTCTACCTAGGGGGATGCACAAGACTGATTCAAACAAAAACGCTGCGCTACCGCTCTCCACAGTCGTTTGCACTCACACGAGACGCTCAGACACAGGCAAACACAGAGGCACACACAGACGTGGGTACACACACAACCACGCCCCTACAGACACACCCCAGACACACTTAAGTCAACGACACAACTTCCAACAACACAGAGACACACACGCAACCTACCCACACTCAGTTACACAACGACAACCGTAGAGAGACCCTTGCGATCAAGTTTTGTTAGCGAGCGCCTATTAAAGAGGCTGGACGCGGCGGGGGGGGGGTATGACCTCCACGGCTACACCAACAACACAATCACGTAGGCACTCACACACAGATACCAAGACAAACATTTGGACACTCAGATACCCACCCCCTGCCAGGCACACAGATACATATTCCCGTATTACCCGAACAGACTGTTGTGAACAGACTCTTGTTAGCGCGAGTGGCATCTATGAAGGCCAGAAAGGGTACCCGAGCGGGATGGCGATGTTTAACACACCGCAACCAGGTACTCATGTGAGGCTGAGTCAACCTCGGGGAGGCCCCACACCGGTTCAGATAATCGACACTGGGGATGACCGTGAGCGGGAATCGAACTCTGGGTCGCCGGGTTCGTAGTGCGGCGCGCTAACCACTACGTTACCGCTCCCCACGGACACAGCCGGGCCATGAACGCCCCCCCCCCCCGCGCTACCCCCCAACTCCCCCCCCCCCATTTGCGTCATAGGAGCGGGGCCACGCCTCCCCCCCTCGGCTGCCGTTTGAACAAAAACCCGCGCCCATTCCTCGAGCCTGAATCACTCCTCGCTCGCTCGCTGCTCGCACACGCGGCGGAGGAGGTGTGGCGGCGTGGCTCGGTCCAGGAACTCGGGGCGAAATTTCGGGGACGCGCGACCCACGGGCGGATCGGCTCAGGTTCACGAAGCCGGCTGCCGGCACGAGGTCAAAGCCTAAAGGATTCGGGGATTAAGCCTCCGGCTGCAGCCCTCATCTGGAGGCTAAGTCGCGACTTGACAGGTAGGGAGAGAGAGAACGGGGGAGGTGGAATGTGAGTGAGCTATACAGGAGAGCGAGTGCAGGAGGGTTGGTTCACCGCTCACCTGCTGCACCTGGTAGGGGGGGGGGCGAGAGCGTAGTAGAGGAAGGGAGAGAGGAGATAGAGAGAGAACCTGACGTCTCACCTGCGCGCGGTCATGTTCCGGGACTCGGGGCGGGAGTGCGAGAGTTCGTGCAGCGGCTCTCCGGCAACGTCGCCATACCTGTCCCCCGCCTCCAGCTCTTCCTCCTCCTCCAGTTCCTCCTTCTCCTGCAGCCCCGCCCTCCCACACGGCGCACAGGTGAGACCCCCCCCCCCCCCCCGCAGGGGATGTGAGACCCGTTGTAAATGTAACTCTGTCTTACAATAGAACTGTATTAGGTGCCAACGTTTCGGGCAATGGCCATTCTTTGCAGGTCTCGAAACCGGGCCCACGTTTACGGTCCAAGCTGACCCCTGTTCCATCACCCACGTGGTCTAACTGGTGGACTAACGACCTGGCAGCTGATTAGATTGTTGTCACGATTCGATGTTGTAATTACGTGTTCTTGCCTTTAAATGCCTAATTCCTTCGTTTAGTCTTTAGAAAAAAATATAGAAAAAGATCAATAATCGATTATGTCACGCGTGATACCATGCGCGTCTCCAACATTGATGGGGAGCGGTAGTGTAGCGGTTAGCGCGCTGCACAACGATCCTGGCGACCCGCGTTCGATTCCCGCTCAGGGAAAACACCAGTGGCAATTATCTGAACCCGTCCTAGGCCTCCCCTAGGTCGACTCAGCCTCAAATGAGTACCTGGTGCGATGTGTAAACATCGCCGCTAGGGAGACAAAGGCGGCCGGGCGTGGTGTTGGCCACCCACCCCCTCGTGTGCCGTGCCGGCCTTTATAGGTGCTACTCGCTAACACCACTTGCCCCTACAGTCTGTTAAGGCTATACGGGGGATCTTTGTTTTTGTCTACTACCTATGGCAGCTGCTGCTGCCCCCTCTGCTTCCCTGACTCACAGCGCCAGGCCGCGTGGCAGAGCGTGCTCACTACGCGTGTTCACATCCCGGACGGGAACCGTTCCATTCCCATCATCCCCCGGGGACCGATAAAATACGCACCACTATGAGAAGAATGTTGTCTGAACAGGTGGAATTCCGTACATCTCACTACCGCGAAGCTCTCCGTAGAGTTGGGCTGGTGCCTTTGCCTGTCGCTCGGCACGCAGTCCGAAGTTTCGCTGCACGTGCTGAGAGCGTATTCAGCAACCGAGATAACATATACACAGGGCAGGACACGGATCGCCACGATTTACGCAACAATATCGGGCGCTCCTTTTGGGAATTTGAGAAATGTTCCAGCACGTGGTGGAGCAAAACGTCGGCCATGCGGTACAACCCGCATATACACACGGCAGCGTCTCTACGCGCACGGGCATGTTCGATATCTCGTGGTGTTGTTTCGTGGTAGGGGGTGGACGCGGGGAGAAATTCAGGGCCGTGGTTCGGCTCGGCTCGATCCACCAGGGCTCTGCGTGTCTCCCGGAGCCAGAGGTTCTAACAACGGAAATATCCGGCTGTGGAGTCCGGTTCACGTGACGGCGAGCAGTGAGTGGGGCGGGGGGGGAGCCCGTGGGTGGAGGAACAGGGGTCGCCGTGACCTGCGGCTCGGCCCTGTCATGGGGTGGGGGGGTTGGCGGGGACTGCCGGGTGTGGTCACGGCTCCCGAGTGTTGAGTGGTAACCGGGTGTAGCGTGGTGTATGCGTTGTGTATCGGTGGTGCGGTAGTTTGATGTGCTGGTGGTGGTGTGCTGGTGGTTTCGAGTGGTGTGCGGTTTAGTGCGGAGCCTGATGGACTGGGTTAGCTGTCGGGGTAGCGTGGCTGTGCTTATGTGGAGCGTGGTGCAATGCGAGGCGTGGTGCAGGGGTGTGGTGATGTGGTTTTGGGATAATTAGGGGGTTGGGGCTGGGTGGAGTAGTGGGATAGTACGGCTAGTGTCGCGGTGTAGCGGTGTTACCGTAGGGGGGTGTGAGCCATAGCTGCGGTGGAGCGCTGCGCGCCCCGAATCCTAATGAACATACTTCATCTCGTGGGAGAAGAGGATCAGTGTTCAGTATTCGACGGAGGGTTGGGTGGGGGGGGTCACCGAACCTCGGGAATGCGAGGGAGTGAACGGGATCTGTACCCCGCTCTGAGCGAAACTTCACCACCCACGCTCACCCGGTGGTGAGCAACCAAGCTCAAGGACGCCCCCCCCCACCTCCGCCAGGTGCATCCGACCCCCCTTCCCAGGTGGGTCCTCTTCCTATGACAACTTACCCCGTGCCTCCCAGCGGATCTCAATAACGATCTCACTCCGGGCGTCCATGAGGACACTGATTGTTCATTAATTCATCCGCAGCCATGGTCGATCCACTGCTGGATGAAGGCTTTCTCCCCTAGCCGCCGCCACTGGTCATTTATTCGCGTCCGTTACCCATCGCGTAGTGGGGGGGGGGGGGGCAGCCGAGGGCTAATGGGGCTAGGGCAGGGTACGCGTCTCACGGCCAGAGGGGGACGATGGGCATCGATCAAGAGCTTTCAGGAGGGAGTGAAAGACAAGAAGGAATGGGACGGCGCGCGAAGGGACACCTCACATCGAGTCGTGTGTAGGTGGGCTGGGTGGGTTGTTGCATCGCAGGATCGTGAGAGGTGGCGACGGCGTCGGGGAGCTGTTCACCCAGCAGCGGATTGATCATGGCTGATGATGACGATGGAGTGCTTCTATGTCCCCACGTCTATGCTTCCCCGCCTTCAACAACCCGCCCTGACCGGCGTGGTGAAGTATGGTAAAATTCCCACGACCCGCACGGCGTGTGGAAGCATCCAGCAGTGGAGTGACTAGCGGTTACCGGTTCGCAATCCCGTCCGCAATCCCACCAATGGCCGCCGCCTCCAAGATAACGGTGATCGATGAAAACATTGATAACACTACGGCGAGTTTAGCGACCTCCAGTAGCTGGGGGATCACGTGACCCTATTACATACAACACATTCGCATCGAGACGAATCAAAAAAAACATTTGATTCTTGCTCGAGCACGTGATTCGAACGCGCGCTCGTCGTGAGGTCCAATAATCGATCATTGATAATCGATGCTTCGATGCACACAACGCAACGCGGTAGACACGTGTCCGATGACGGCGATGAACTGGCGGTTATGCAACTGTGGGTCCTCGTCGGCAAACAACACGGCCAGGGTCTCTCAGCCCACTTTGCATGTGCGGGTGACGTCACAATTACACACACAGCCTTGCGGTAGGCGCCACCAGAACAATCTCCCCCACCCACGGGCCCCCCTCCCGAGTGCCCCCCTACCCACACCCACCCCTCGCCTCCGCACTGGGCTCGTCCTGGCAGCTACCAGCTGCAGGGTCGGGGCCGAACATCCGCGAGTAAATATCGGGAATGTCATACAGCGACTTGCGCTATGGACTGTGGTCGCGGCTTGCACCACGTGTGCTCGAGTGACGGGGCGGTGTGCAAACGTCGCCGCTCGGGACACGGAGGTTGGCCGGGCGTGGTGCTGCTCGGCCACAACCTTCGTGTGTGCGCCGTGTCGTCTTTCGTAGGTGCTCGCTAACAGCACTTCGTCGCAAAAAATATATATATTTTTTAGGCTATACGGGGGATCTTTGTCTTTGGTGTGTCAAGAGCGTCACGAGGAAAACAAAAATGGCATGGCGTGGTGCTGGGCACCATCCCTCCTGTGCCATGCCGGGCTTCATAGGTGCTCGCTAACAGCACTTATCCCAATTGACTGTTAAAATCTTTACGGGGGAACTTTGTCTTTGCGATGGTGTGAGTGATTGGGGGTGATGGCACCTGGGTCTGTCCCGTGAACACACTTCACGTGGCGTCAATGTGCACCTAGCCTGGTACAAGCGCCTTGGTGACGTCGCTGCCACTTAGTAACGAATGGCAGTTGTTGTGTGATGGGGTGAGTGTTGGGTGTGTGTTGTGATTCGATGTGTGATGGGGTGAGCTGCATGACGTGGTGTGCGTTCTTTATGTGTCGGAAACTGTAGGATGGGGTGTGTGTGCGTGTGTTGGCGTGTGGATGTGTGTGCCAACAGTAACAGTAGGGGACACAGGTGGTACATCGGCCAGTCATCTCAGTCAGTCGACCCATGGGCACCTGGGTCTGTCCCGTGACCTCCTGCCAGCGGGCGTTCGACAGTTCACGTGGCCTTAACGTGCACGTAGCCTGGCACAGGCGCCGTGGAAATATGTCACCACCACTTAGTGGCGAATGGCGGTTGCTGTGTGTTTATTACTGTGCATATCTCTGGGTGTTTTGATGTAGATGTACGTGTTGAGGGTGTGTATGTATGCGTGTTTATAAGAGTGTGTGGGAGTGTCTGCGAGTGTAAACATGTTTTGATCGTGTGTGCATGTGTATGGGGAGTGGTGGCGCAGTTGTCAGCGCGCTACGGTACGAACCCAGGAACCCAAGTTCGATTCCCATTCCTGACAAACATTAGTGACGAATATCTGATCCGGTCCTAGGCCTCCCCTATGTAGACTCAACCTTAAATGAGTACCTGGCGCGGTGAGTAAACATCAGCACTAGGGAGACAAAGGCGGTCGGCCGTGGTGCTGATCACCCATCCGCTCGTGTGCCGTGCCGACCTGCCTTAATAGGTGCTCGCTAACAGCACTTGCCCCAACGGCCCGTGTAGGCTATACGGGGGACCTTTGTGTGTACATGTGTGTGAGCACGTGCTCCATGGTTGTGTAATGAGGGGTGCGGTGGGTCGCGTCACGCCCTGCGCGTAATCATCGGTAAATACACAAAGACAACGAACCCCGTATAGCCTTAACAGACTTTTGGAGCGAGTGCCATTAGCGATCACCTGTGAAGGCCGGCACGGCTCACGGGGGGCGGCCAACACCTCGCCTGGTCGCCCTTTGTCTCCCTAGTGCTGATGTTTACACACCGCGCCAGATACTCATTTGAGGCAGAGTCGACCTGGGGGTTGGGGGGAGGAGGCCTAGGACCGGCTCAGATGAATGTCGCTGGTGTTAGCCGTGAGCGGCACACACAGACATGCAGACACCTCCCCCCACCCACACCCACACGTAGAGACAGACTGACACATGGACACAACGCAGACTGCTGCGAATTCTGGCAGAACTCCTTGCGGTCCGCGCGGCGAGACGTGGGAGGTAGTGGCGGTACGGTGGTGGGAGGTGGGGGGGTGGGGGTGCAAGATGAGCAACTGCAGCGCCTGTCCCGGACGCTGTTCCTGGAATTGTTCCGGCGGTTCTTTCCATCCCCTCGCCTCGCTCCGTCCTGGCGACGGAGTCCGTAAGCCCGGAGCTGATCTCTCGCTGGAACCGTTCGGGGTGGCTCACCACCACCACCCCCACCCCAACTCCTCCACACAGCGGTTCCGATTTCTCTGCAGGTGCCCAATGGACAGTGAATTGTGATGACCTGTCTTTAAAATTATTGAGGGTTTTTTTTTACCATTTATTTAGCCGTTATAAATACGGCGCGACTAAAGTTCCTTGTTTTAGATGGTGCGTGAATAGTCCTGTGGAGTTACCAGAAGAGACGCTGGTGAGACAAGTCAACGTGGAACTCACAAAGGCAATTGTTCCTCATCTCCCTCTAGGACTTCTCGCTCCCCTTCGTGCCGACCCTCACCGCCGTGGCGAGCAGCCCCGACCTCCGCTGGATGGTCCAGCCCAGCGTCATCACCTCCGCGGCGCGGCCCCCCGGGCCCCCCATGGGCTACGCGCATCATCAGCCTCATCATTATCAGCAGCAGCAGCTGCAGAGACTGGGGGGCGCTGCCCCCACCCAACGCGCTCTGCAGGGGGTTCCATCGCGTCCGGGGGTCATCCGCATCGTGGCCTCGGCGCCCACGCGGAGAAAGAGGCCCGCAGAGGAGGTGTGGGACAGTGCTGTCTGCTGTATGAATAATAGAGATGTGACAATGCGCTCAATCCTTCCCTGTCCCGTCGTCCCACGATTATATTTAGTAATCGATTCTTTTTTGTGTAATTGTTACCGTTTTGATTTAAAGCTTTCGTGACTGCAGGGATTCATATTCTTGTTTTTTTCGGTAAAGTCATGTGACTTTACCAGAAAGAACCAAGATTATATGTTACCGTTTTGTTTTTTGTCTGTGATATTACCCAATCGCTAAGACGTCGCCGCGTTATGTTTCCCAGAAGTAGCTCTGTGATGTTCACTTCCGCGATACGTTTGCTAACTCGAGGAGGTTGCACTACTCTGCGAGAGTTCTGCAATCGATTCTTCCGTCCCGTGACATAACACCAGTGACACAGTCTCATCGTCAGCCATGGTCAATCCACTGCTGGATGAAGGCCTCCCCGAGGCACTGCCATCTCGCGATCCTGCGATGCGACCGATTTCAACAACTGTTATAAATGTAGATTCATCGATGCATCGTTACGCACCACATTGGGTAGTTCTCGATGTTTTATAAACGCACGCGTGACCCACCCGCGCGCCACGTGGTGTGAGAAGATTGCTGGCACGTGGAGGGGGTTGCACAACACTGACCGGGGGTTGCGCAATGGCAGCGTGGGTGTTTGTGCAAGGAGAGGGGAGGGAGCCTTCTGTGGTGTTACTGGAATCTTTGAACTCTTGCATCACCTCCTCCCTTCCGAGCACCTGTGACCTCATACGAACAACAACAACCACCACCACATCCTCCACGTCAGTGTTCACCAGCACACCCACCGGCTTCATGTATCACACTCACCACACGCACACACTCGCCATTCACATGCACTCAATAACCGCACAAACTCGCCCGCACTCCTCCTCGCCCTCTGCTTCCGTACTGCGGTGCCGGCACCGTCCCACCAAAAAAAATAGTCACCAGATTCCATTGTTCGCTGCGCGTTGCGGCTGGCCACTCGGGCAGCGCACCCCTCTCCCGCCCCCTAGAGGCCACCCGGGGGGGTCCCCATCCGCCACCACCCTTGCTCGAACGCTATCAACTCACGTCACAGACGTCGCACTCGCACCATCCCACACCTGAACCCTTACCCCTAACACTCACCCTTTCTTCAACCCTCTCCCTTCGCCTGCCCAGCTCAACCCCGAGGAGGACGAGAAGCGGAGAGTGCGGAGGGAGCGGAACAAACAAGCGGCGGCGAAATGTAGACATCGGCGTCGTGAGCTCACGGACACCTTGCAGGCGGTAAGTGGACCCCTGCTCGCTGCACTGCCTCCACCCTTGCTCCTTACAGCCTGCTCCCTGCACTCCCTACATCCTGCTCCTCACACCCTGCACTCCCTAAACCCTGTTCCCTGCACTCCCTACACCTTGCTCCCTGTACTCCCTGCACCCTACGCTTCCTCCACCATGCGCTCCCTACTCCATCTCTACACTCCCCTACATGCTGTTGCGTGTTTCCACCGCGGACCTCACTGAGTTGGGGGTCCCTGTGCCCCCTCGCAGGAGGCCGACAAGCTGGAGGAGGAGCGCTCGGCGCTGCAGTCCGACATCCGCCTCCTGCAGAAGGAGCGCGAGGACCTGGAGAGGATCCTCAGCGCCCACCGCGCGCTCTGCCGCCTGCCCCCCAACGCCGCGGAACCCGACAGCTCACCGACTCCTGCAGGAGACCCCCAGGACCTCCTGGAAGAGCAGCGGCAGCAGGAGCGGCGGCGGCGAGGGGATACCCCCCGGGGTCCCGACCCGACCCCCCTCGTCGCCGTGAAGCTGGAGCCCACGGAACTTGCGGACGAGGTGGCGAGGAGCCGCGCGTCACGTCTCTCCTCGCCCGAGCACCTGGGCGGGGAGTCCCACTCGTGCGCCACCTCCTACCGGCGCGGTAGCGCGGGTGGCGGGCCAGGGCAGCCTGAGGAGCGCCGGTCGGGGCGAAGCGACGGCGGGCGCGCTCGGGTCGCGAACGCTGATGGCGCTCTAGCGAGGAGAGGGGGGTGGGGGAGTACACGGGGAGGGAGGGGGGGATTGTCGCGTTTACACGAGAGGAGTGCAGCAGGGCTTCTTAGTTTCAGCCGGGCCTGAGCTGCGGAATATATTTCATGAGAAATGAAGCCTTTGCCTGGATGCGTGGTGATGATGATGATGGTGCGGTGGTGTTGGCTGTTTTATTATGGAGACGAATTATTGAGAAGTGTGGGGGGAAGGGGGGGCTAGAGCGCCTCCTCGCCGGCGGTCGAGATGCCTGAAGGAGTGGCAGCCGAGAGATGAAACGCGCCAGAAAGGATCTACCACCGAGGAGGAGATGGAGCGATGAAATTCCCCCCCCCCCCCCACCCCACCCCTCCTCCGTTGTGGGTGGCTCTAGGTGGATTGTTACATCGCCGGATCGTGAGAGGTGGGAACGGCAGCTCGGGGGAGGCGTTCATCCAGCAGTGGATTGAGCATGGCCGGTGATTAATTGCTGTAACAATCACAATCGCGCGTCGCCGTCTGTTTGTTAAAGCTAAAAGGGAAAACGCATTCCAAAGGCCAAACTTCTGACCTGTTTCTGCAGCGCGTGTGTTTTATATGTAATAATAAGTTATGTAGTGTACGCTTAATTTGCTTACAAGCGGGGAGGGAGAGGGGGGGGTTCATAATCTTTATTGAATGAATGATGGCGGCAATGAGTCTCGTGCTGATTGGAGTTAATTAGTCACCCGTGTGGAAGAGATAGCGCAGCGATTCAAGGGGCACGTGCTGAGTCAGCAGGGCTGACGCCGTTGCTCCTGGCGACTGACTGGAAGACGGACGGGGGAGTGGTGGGACTGCGGCGTATGATGATTACTGTATTCTCTACAGTATAAAGACCCCCCCCCCACCCTCCCCCTGTATTTTAAAGCAAAAGCTGGGGGTGCGTCTCGTAATACGGTAGCTGTGTGTAAGACCATGTTTGTGGAACGGCAATGGCAGTGAGGAAACACAGGTTTGGAGTGCGTCTTATTTTTTCGGCGACGCTTGTAATGCAGAGAATACGGTAATTCTTCGGCACGTTCACGGAGTGGCAATTGATCGATTTGAAATCGATTCGAGGGATACGTGGAACCGAATGGCGCGAGCGTCGAATGTCTTAAAATAGTGTGCAGTGTTTAGAATGTCTGCGGATGTCAATGCTGATGCTACGTAGTATACAGGACTCGTGCAAACGAACGAGTCCCCGACGAGACTTTACTTACAGAGAAAAATTCAAACGAGACGATACAAAACGAGCGACGGGCCACGACCCCACGCGCAGCTGGCGGAGTGGGCGAAGAGGCTGTTGCAATTGAGCGTTTCTCTTAAATAGCTCTTCTGAGATTTGATTTACAGCAAGATGTTTTTCATGCATATTTAAAAAAAAAGTGTTCTCATATATATACTGTACACATCTGTTCGGGCCCTCCACACCGGCAAATTGGACGGGTTTGGGAACTCCTGGACAGGCAGTGGCTTGGATGCTAATTACAAAAAAAAGTACAATAATTGTCTGACAGCACAGCCTGGTGACCGACGGGCAAGGTCCCAGGCCTCTAGAACAGCCCCGCGGTTCACCTCTCCACGATTGCCGATGCTGCTCAATTATCTACCATCTGAGTCGTAACGCGCCGTACGCGCCTGATGATCTCTAAACATGTCCGCCCCCACCCCCCGCGTGGCGTAAAAAAAGACAGCGTTAATTAGAAGCGAGAGATCGCGTGGAGTAAAATAGCGCCCTCCTGGTATACACCGTGGCGTCTCGGCTCCTCTCAACACCTTTGAAAGGGAACCCCCATTGACAGCTGCCCCTGTGCGGCACAAGGCAACTCAACACCAGACCTCTAAACGGGCATTAGTCTGCCGGTAATTGAGTAATTTACGGTTACGGCAATTTGATTGTATGACAGAGCGCTGACTCCAATTAAGATAGAGCTCACAAGTGTGTGTACGCGTGTCTCAGGTGGTGCAGAGATCGTTCCTAATTTGCTTAAATTGGCATTATATCACGTCACACGAGCTATGTGTAGTAATCATCGGGCGCGTGCAGCGCGTCACCAACGATTCAATGTGTCTTTGGACGGAAGATTGGCAACCGCGGAAAGGGGTGAACCGTGGTGGGTGGCAAGGACCGGCGTTTATGAGAATCGCTGGAGGAGTCCCGAGGTCAACGGCTCGTCGCCACGAGGTCTCACTCGCATCGCCCCACGGTCGCTGATTCTGAAGCCATCGTGGGGAGGTGGGGGGCGGGAGGGGGCACCATTTTGGTTCCACTGTTGGGCCGCGAGGTCGCGGGAAGCGAGCCCCGATGGTCTGCTGCTGATACCAAAAATCAGTTCAATTCCAGTTTCCGTTCAGTTCCATTTATTTGGTATAGCCTGTGAGCCATTCGGCTCTTGAATCGGGTGCAACCGCAACAAAAAAAAAACATGAACAAGAAAACATCTTAAAGTGACTAGGTGAATGTGCAAACAGAAAATCCAGGAAAAAACATCAAAATATTCCTGAAAAAGCACCGTACACCAACGCTGAGTGCAAAAATCCCAGTGGGATGCAAGTCAAACAACAACGATAATCACAAGACAACTTAGATTAAGGCCATCAGTCTAACTCCGTACTACAACAAACAAAAACATGGCCAAACCAAAAAACGTTTTCGAAAAAAACAAAATAAAGCCATAAATGCAACGTAACAGTGATCATAGGGACTGTGACCGAATTTTTAACAATAAACTACATAAATAACATGTAACACCAAACCCTAGAGCCACAGCTGGCTGCATGAGTCACTCCACAACAACAGGCGCATCAGTCGGAGTATCACATTTTTCAATGCAAATTTAATATCAGCACACTAAATAAAAATACAGATAATTCTTTGCAGCGGTCATCCGGAGCGAAACATTTTATTTTAGGCCACTGAATAGCACACAGTCGCGACAAGCACTGCCTTTGAAAGGGAAGCTGTTTTTGTATGAAAGGCGACGGTTACAGGCAAACAGCCCTTCTCCCCATTGCGTCGAGAGGCTAGAGAGCTCGAGTGGATGTTGGAGAAACGACGCTCGTTTTGTTTGTTCATAAAACAGCGGATGTTGGTGGTCCGTGATCATTGTTGTGGGGTGACCGTGAGCAGCGAGGAAGGCGTTCGAGGGGACCCGTGAGCTCGAACATTCCAGATGCCCGCCTCCAGACGCACTGAGCGAACCTCGTTCAGCAAAATGTTCAGGGGTGTCCGATAAGCCGCCAGCGGTGCGCCACCGTTGCTGATCGAGGGTGGTAAAGTATGGGATAAGATGTATACTTGATTCTCTTTTGTGATGATCATGATGAACGACGACGATGATGATGGCGGTGGTGATTTTGTCTCGTGTTATCTGTTTTTTTTACATTATATATAAATATATATTTGATATATCACGCTGTGCCGTCTGAAGGTACAACACGTGCTATGCGCAGCTACTACGTGACGCTGACGATGGTCAGCGCGCTGCGCTTAGCGGGGGGGGGGGGGGGGGGGCGAGGTAATTACTCAATGAAGCTCAACAACTGTTTACAAGAGGAGCGTGGCGAGCTCCCGTCGTGTGGCACATCCATCCCGGAGCCGGCAGGGACGCGCGCGATGGTACCCGCAAACCTGTTCGTGACGGCCACTCGTCCATCGACACGATCCAGACCGGAGCACCAACTCGGAGCGGGTCCCTTGGAAACGTGAATAGGCAGGACTGGTCGTCAAGGGTAACCGCTAAAAACGTCGGACAGAAGAGTTGCACCTCTCCTATGCGTTCCCGGGTTGTAGCGCACACGTTGGGTCGCCATGACGTCCGACGTTTCGCTTCACGTGCTGGTAGCTTCTTCAGTTCCTCATGGTTTGCGGGCATGGTGGCACGGGGTGCGATCGCTGCTGATCAAGGGCAGTCGAGCACGGGATAAGAGATGCACTCCTCTCCACGACGATGATGTCTGGGGTCGTATGTTGTCTATGTCGGTGGCATCCCTCGTGGCTTACCTATTCGCTCAGTTTCCAGCGTGTGGATGCGAAACGGTCGACACAGTGCCGAACAACAACAACAACAACAAACGATCTTGCGGGTGCAGCACGGAAAACACGTGGCGGGGGTCGGGGAGGGCCGCGTGGCTGGCGCGACTTCACGGGAGCCGAGTCGCGCAGTTTGCCAGATCCGAAATCGCAGAGTCGCTCCGCGTGTCCTTCTCGCCCTCGGCGAGATCAATCGTCTCCTACTTATTGACGTGGTCGCGTCACTTCTGTTCAATCAGACGGCTCTCCTCTTCGTTCGTTGTTGCAGCGGGGCTTTTGCAAACGTTGCATGCGCCGTGGTCCAAAATCCTCAAAACGGTGCCCTCTGTTCGCGTCTGCTGAACGTAAGCGAGAGCATTGCTCCCCTGTCAGTCCACAGCGTGGATGAGGGCATCGCCACGCCGTTCGGCTCGTGCGGCTTGTGTTGACCGACTTCCATTGACCACGCTGGTCAGTGCGGGTTGCTGCAGTCGGGGAGCAATAGCACAGTACAGTACAACACCAGCGAGTGTTCTGCGTTGCCCGCAGCGCGCTCCCCGGTGCTGACACAGCGACGAGCAATGCACGTCGCGTTCAGTTCCGCTTTGTGGGAAGCCAACATTCATTGTCTAGTGGATGTAGAGTATTGTTTCGTGTCATAGGAATGTGTAAATTTCCATAACTCGCTCGGGGGCCCGTCAGAAACTCGCACGGCTGGTTTGCGCGGGGAGAGAAATGGACTCGGGCCACGGGAAAGCCTCGCCGAGTCTCATGACTCATATATTTTTTTCAAGAGGGTCCTGCTCAGCATGTTTGGCCAATTCCTGGAGTGTTTACTCCTTGTTCACCTGAAAAGGAAGTACCAGTGTCCGGAGAAACCGCTCGACCTAACGAGGGGACGACTTCATTAATACACACATTTAAAAAATCTGCACAGATGGGTCCGTGGGTTCGTGAGAAGCCTGCAAAGGTTCGAGTCGCGCGGATGAGTGGGGGCATTGTGGGGAGTGGGAATGTCCGTCACGCTGCCTCCTGCACATCGACGTTACGCGACTCCGACAGCGCACGTGTGTCCCTCCTGTACCTTGACACGGAATAATAAACGCGAGACTGAAGCAGAGACTCTTGCCCTAAAGCTTTTCGTTTCACACGAGGCTACGCCGCCACCTCGTGGCCGCTCTGTGTAATCGCAGGGGCCCGCGGTGCGAGCGTGCCACTCATCTTAAGTCAAGTCAACCCAAGGCGCCTGGGTCTGTCCCGAACGGCGGTTGTTGTTATTGATGAATCAGCCTTAAATGAGTAACCTGGTGCGTTGTGTAAACATTGCCACTGGGGAGACAAAGGTGGTCGGGCGTGGTGCTGGCCACCCACCGCGCTGTTTCGGCCGCAGGATGTGCTCGATAAAGGCGCTTTCCTCAATGGTCTGTACGGCTGTCGTAAGGGGCATCTTCGTCTTAAGCGTGCGTGGCCAAGGAGCGCCCGCAGAGCAGAGAAAGCCACACAGACGGCTGGGTGAACATCTGTCAGCGAGATGCATTGTGGTTGGCACAATGTGCTCCGAGCCCGTTCTGGACTTCCCCTTGGTCGACTGGGACTTAAACGGGTACCTGGTTTGGTGACAATCAGCACCTCACACTCTCGCATCAATTCGCAACCCCAAGCCGACAACAGGTGGTCACCGACCTAAGCACTACCCGGGCTCGAGCCTGTTTAGCTGCCAACGTGCTGACGGGATGGGATGAATTCCGGTGATTCGGGCATAGGCAGCATTGCATCATCACCGTACGCACAGCTGATAAACACAAAGACAAAGGTCCCCCGTATAGGCTTAACAGACTATTGGGACAAGTGCTGTTAGCGAGCACCTATAAAGGCCGGCACGGTACACGAAGGGGTGGGTGGCCAGCACCACGCCTGGCCGCCTTTGTCTCCCCAGTTTACTACACACCGCACCAGGTACTCATTTGAGGCTGAGTCGACCTAGGGGAGGCCCAGGACCGGTTCAGATAATCGTCACCGGTATTGTATCGAGCAGATACTGCGAGGGATTGCTGCATTGTGGCTTGTGGTCAGAGGCGTATTAGGGTTCATTATGGACAGACGTACAGGGTCACGGTTCAAGATTACGGGTGGACAGGGTTCAGTTTGATCAAGTTTCGGCATTGTTAGGAAGGTTTATGTTTTGGCAGGGTTAGGTTTAGACGAGGTTAATGCTTATTCTGGTTAGTTGTGTTAATAGTTATGATTAGGCAGGGGTACGGATTAGACTGGTGACTCGGGTTATTGCCCCCCCCTACCCCGCTCTCCCCCCCGCTCCTCCTCCCCGGTCACAGTGACCCAGGCTGCTCGCCAGGACCCACACTGCCCTGCCCGGGTACATTTAAAGGCGGTGGAGGGGAGGTAGGGAGGGTCTTGAGCTTTGGCGCCATTCACCAAACGAGGCCCCGGTGGCCTGGGGCCAACACTGCCAACGGAGTGTTGTGTG